TTTTCTCGATTTCTTTGTCTACTGCAAATACGTGGACGTTCTTCAGACCCTCCCACCAGTTCTGATAGACTAAGAGCTTTTTGGTACATGCGTTGAAACCACGCGTCAATCGCATTGCGTATCTCTGTATAGCACTTGATAATTCCTTCAATTTTCTGTAAACCAAAGTATACCTCGACAAGCCTTCCTTGCAGAGCGGTGACGAGTGCTCGCATCGGCTCCAGCATCACTTTAGCACAAACAAAGCTGAAAATATGTCCAAAGCTTATCATACTATGTCGCACTCCATTTACCATCGTCTTAGTTTTGACATCCCAGCTCCGGTCTTCGTTGTTTGGATAAAACCGGACGTCATCATTTGTGAGTACACATGTTTCATTAAGTGTGATGACAATGTATTCGTACAAATCAAAAATTTTTTCAAATGTGGAGTGTCCCTCGATCCACCTCGTCTTGCACAAATCTTTCAGCTTGCGCTTCGTTTTCTCTGGGGAAAGGGCGTCAATTACGGTCGTTAAGAATTTCTATCGCTTTGGTGAGTTGTCAGAAAAACGGAACAATTCATGGCAAGATTCCATCATGTTCTGAATTGAATTTATTTTGCAAGCATGGCATGTAACAAGGTTGATCGAATGAAGGCAGCGACCTTGATACTCTGCATCAGGTGCATTCTTGGCTAGCTCAGCTTGAACTCCCTTTTTATCTGAACTCTTTGACGCAGTTGTGTCATATGCTTGACCACGGCAATTTCTAATGTCAATTGCATGCTTCTGTAAGCTGTTTCTGATTGCAGTAGCAATAGCTGAACCATTCGTTCTTGTTAGATCACACATGTCTTTCAGAACCTCGCGCTTTATTGGGTTGGATGGGTCAGCAATGAGGTCAAGCAAGCGGTGACACATTGACAACACTTCACGACCCTGAGAAGTCATTTCGTCGGCAATTAATGAGAAGTGGGGATTCTTCTCAAGTCATTTTCTAAAATTTTCAGGAGTCGTGTCAGCAATAACTCCAATTACTTCATTTTGGACAGTTTTGCTCGTATACCGTACATTTTCTGGTCCCGAAATGAGATGTTCCTTAAGTACAGGGTTGCTCTCTGCCAGGAGAGGAAGGATAGCGATAAAATTACTTTCATTCGATGCTGGAGATTCTGCAAACTGCACTTAATCATCTCGGTGCCCGCGCAAAGCAATTTGCTGCTTTGTGCACAACAGCACGGCATCTACGATGTAAGGCAATATTGCTGTATTTGCTTAGGCATTTCTGGGCAATTGTATTAATGTGCGTGTCAATCCGTCTTTCAATGTTTACCAGTTGGGCTCTCGCACAAGCAGCACGGTCTAAAGATCTCTTGTGGTATTCATTGGTTTCGTGGCTATCGAGTTTCTCTTTAGATTTGTTATAGTTTCTGAATGGAGTTTTCACAAAGGCCATTAATGCATCTTTCTCTCCGTCTGTTAAGAAGGCACGACACACACCAGCCGCCTTTTAATTCATCGTGAGTGCTATAGGCTAGCCATCTGCGTTGATCAAGCCATCTTGTTTGGAACGTTATTTGTTTTCTGGCTTTCAGCCGTTGAGTGTCAAGAGCAGAGGAAGCTGCTGGCTGCCAACAGTTGTCAAGAAACTGTATTTTCTCGGCGTTAACCATAAGGACGAACAACCACGGGCCTAGCTTGGTACCCTGTGGTACGCCGGCGGGGACTGGGCTCCATTCGGAAAAACACTCTGATGCAAGTTTAATCCGCTGGGATCTGTCCGATTAAAAATCTTTTCTTCTCTTCAGACATGATCTTCTTTTTATTAAAGATACTGAAGTTAGTTTCTGGGTTAACTAGTGTGTTACAAACACATTTATCAAGGAAACAAGGTGGTGGGCCACCCTGAGCCAGGCTTACAGCAACAATCTGTCCACAAGACTGGAAATAACCATTTTGTACATTCTATCTGGCTTCTATCAGCAATAATAACATAACCAAAGTAAAGCGCGCGCTCTGATTGGTCAATTTAGCGTCCCCCATTTGCCCATGGGTGTACGCTGCTGCCGTGAGGAAATGCAAAGACTATTTTTACGCGCGCGCGCTTGTTTTTTCTGGTCGCGTAAGATTTGTTAAATAAAAGGGAACTCTTTAGCTACAAAGTATCAATGTTATGTTATAAAACAAATGGTAAACACCACAGCGTACACTGTAGTTATATGGATGCACTTGGGAGGTTTGCTAAGCACTCAAGAAGCTAGAGTCGCTCTCGGCTATCGCCTCGAGCGACTGTTACGCTTCTTTCGTGCTTAGCAACCTCCCGCGTGCATCCATAACTCAATAGTGTACGCTGTGGTGTTTACCATTTGTTAAAAAGGACATACCCCATGACTAATATGGCTTGCACCCTGAATTCTTTGCTCATTGCCCCTCTTTCTTTACCATCCTCATCAATGAAGTGGACTTTTAGACATTTTTCAGAGCTTATTCGCTTTGATTCGCGTTCTCATAGGCTTAGGCGTCTTGTGAAATTAGAGCCCTCTTTATCGCTGTAAAGAATTGGCTGGAGTTGTTAGAATTCAAAGTCACGTGTCACGAGAATAATCCCTTTTAATACGCGTAACGAAATATCCTCCCGTCACTTCAATGAGTACGTGTGAATATACGTTTGAAAAGTCTTCACCGGCCAAGATTGTTTAATGATGGACTACAGATAGAACAATCATTTTAGAACGGAAAACATTTCGCTTGGTATGCACTAACCTATCAAAATGGTGTTCATTAAGGCTGGACAAGGGTTTTAGTCGATACTGTTCTCGAGCGAAACCTAAAGCTTCAATAATCATAATAATGATAACAGTAATTAAAAATCATAATAATGATAATAGTAATTAAAAATCATAATAATGATAATAGTATTAAAAAATCATAATAATGATAATAGTAACAATAATAAACTGATGATATATTTTTAAATCACATCAACAACATTAAAAAAAAATATTAAGATAAATAGTTTTATTAAATTTTAAAAATATGTACTTAAGTTACAGAAAAAATTCAAGTAAGAGTTAGGCTTTATAGATAATTAAGAATCGTTTGAAAAATACAGCCACTGTGTCAATAACGATTTCCCAATTACATTCCTTGCGGCTAAGATGCTATCAGAAACTCTTGCAGGGAGTATGGTATTTTAAATCAAGTCATGAAATTTGAAAATTATCCGTCTCTAGTATTAAAAGAAACAATTTAAAATAAAAAATCTCGTTTTCTTAAAAAACAAATATTAATTCGGCCAAGCTCTAATATTTTCGATCTGTAAATAATACTGATAATGATAATTGCAATGATACAGGATTTCTATAGCGCCGCGTGTACTGCAAATCCTGTGGTACTTTACAAATATTAAATAGTTTCCAGCATAAACTTATCAAATTCTTACATAATTTACAATATGGAAAAGAAAACTCTAAATAAGTACAGTATTAAAAGAAAATAACAATCCTTATCATAAACAATATTAAAAGCTATAGTTATCAATTCGCTACGGTATGATTTCTAGCTTACGACTGAAGTGACCTTGCGAGCCATGTTGTAGATCAAGTCTACCTTGATTTATTATTTTTCCTCCATCCTCCTCTCAGGTTACATGTAAGCGTCACTAGTTTAAGATTAACATCACAGCTACGTTAAGTAATTCTTAAAAATTACGTCTTTGCCATAGATTTAAAACTACAATACCAGTTCCTTAATGATCATTTGGCAAGGACTATAAAGTTTTGGTGCTATATACGAGAATGCCCTCTCCCCATACGTTTTAAGTTTGCATCAAGGCTGCACCCATAGCCCTTAGTTTGCTGATCGTAAAGTCCTATTTGGAATGTATGGCACTAACAGCTCCCTTAGTATGATGGCGCTAGGTCATTAATTGACTTAAAGGTAATAACAAAATTTTAAAGTAAATTCTTCCGGTACGGCTGCCAATCATTGGAAATTTTGTTTCATCGTCGTTGAGAAGTAGTTTACCATTGGTCATCCAGTTACGTGTACCATAGTGCTGAATAGCAGTGACAGCGTCAGATTTCTGGGTGCTTTTGTTTGGTCTAAAAGTCATATATAGATACGTGTCGTCAGCGTAGCACTGAATCACAGGAAGGTGCACTTTGATAACATCAAACAATTTGATTGCATCATTTGGGAAGGACTTCAAAGTGGTAGGTCTTTCGCCAAATGTATGCACTGGTCTCCTTTTGAGAAGGAAAAAATTCACGATTCAAGCGCTCAAAATCCAAACCTAACAATGGAGAAAACCCTGACTTTTCAAGTAGTTTTAGAGAGACGGCGTTGAAAATGATAAATGAATCACTAACCCCAATCAGGAGTTAGTTTTGCTTTATAGCGCCATACTGAACTGAGGCTGGGAAGCTTAAAAAGTGTAATACACGTGACGCTAACCCCATTTAAACAGAGATTCCTTATTGAAAACATTAAAACTTCGCGAATATCGTTCTCACTGAAACAATAACAGCCAGTAAGGGGCCGACCATTTAACTTTGAGGGGGGGTGGGTGATTTCTGGTCATTAAGAAATGTTTTTTCTAGCAATCTGCTGTGCAGGATATTTTTTACGGTTTTTTGGTACATTTTTTCTGTTACATTTGGGCTGCATGCAATTTTTTTCTTCCAACAAGTGCTTACAGGAAATATTTTTCAAAATCACCCACSACCTCCCCCCCTCAAAAGTTAACTGGTCAGCCCCTAAACAGTTTATCAACAGTTTGCTTTCCAAACAAACGGCTAGCCTTTTATCTTGAAAATCAGTTCATCCCAGTCAGCTTAAAGCCGGCATTACCAAGCGAAGTGAGAAATGACTTTTGCACGTGCAACCGGGATCAATTTGATGGTGCCATCGGCTCCTCATTTAAGTGCATCTTGCTGTCTAGCTAGGGTAAACGAAACCCTTCTTCCTTAACAGTCCTAGTAAAACAGAAATTCCTCATTGCGGAATAGATGTGTCTTCATGACGAAAGCTGATGATTTGCAAGAAGCTGAGCACAATGTCACGTACATATTGATGAAAAATAAATGTATAAGTAGCAATGGAATAGTCATCTGGCATTAATTTGGTACCGAAGCGTCGTAAGCGGAACTTCGATAAGCAGGAAGATCTTGTCAAAGACTTTTGCTGCTTGTTAGTCTAGAGAAATGAGGACCAAGATGCTTTCAAATTCTACCTTGGAACAACTTGGCAGAGGAAATGCTTCGGCAAACCTAACGGAAACTGCTGAGATCGCAGACGACCAAGAATGTTTGTGGAGAGACGGAAGACAACCGAACTGAAGTAATATTCAAAGCCATGGCTTACTTTATCATCCATCTCGTTATCACTTACAAAAAGTTGCGAAAATCCGTCAACTGTGTATTCCTCTCACTATCATGCTCATCAGAATCGTCAAGATCGTTTCGGGATCAGATTCTTGGAAAGTTAACAATCCTAGGCTGCTGGGAAACATTCTCTGTAAAAACGAGTCACTTTCTTTCCGATGTTTCTCTAATTGTCTCAATCGATCGAAAGCTTGGTTATATCTGGTTGACACAGGAAAACGTGTCAGGGAATGTTCGAGCCAAAAGGGGCCATACGCTTCCTTTTGCCGTGATAAAGAGGAAGTCATCTTGATTCGCGTACTTTGGTTATCTTGTTATTCTTATAGAATCAGTTTAGTCGACACGAAGAATTCATCTCTAAAGGATTGTAAATTAAATTGAAGTGATTAAAATTTTCTAGAAATTGAACCGGAATGAAGAAAGTAACCTAATGCTGAGATGAAAGTTTTGAATAAATCTCTTTCCAACATCTGTCATCCGGGAGATTTGTTTGGGACATTGGTGAAGGCCATTTTGTCTAATAGAAAACAATGCGAGACATTTGACCTGCCAATTTTCTCTATCTGTCAAAACAATGAGTTGGATGAAGTAATTAACCGTCATTTCTAGATCCATTTGTTTCTGAATTCGGTCAACGGAACAAGGATTTGCAACGTGCACATCCCTGCTGGATTCGTTTCATATTCGCCTCAGGCGCTGCAAGCTATATAATGATTGATAGCAATTGTCGCACGAGGAAAATACAAATGTTTGGTATAACATGGTCCCTTCTTTGCTTTAAGTCTTTTTCTGTTTGTGTTTTAAGATCGTTTGTTTTCTTCTAGCTCTCCTCTTAAATGTTCTGCGTTGGTCTCTTGAGTGCTTGGGTTCATGCATGACAGTTGTGTATCAACTAAGACCGATGATAAATTCCCGCAAGTTTTTTACGCTGGCCACTTAAAAAAGTGGCGCTTACAATGGCCCTATGCGACCGACTTTTTGCTATTATTGCTTTTTGTCTAAACCTTGCTAGAATTGTTAAATCAAGAGACGCACAGCTGTAGGACACCCAGCAAGACATTTTTTAAAACCACTTACGTCTGCTTTTTTAGGTTATTTTTTCAACCCATATTCAAACTCAAACTTCGAGAGCAAAAAAAAATTATATACATATATATATATACAAACATGTGTAAATAAAAGAAAGCAATTGAGCATAACTTGTAGTTTTCTTGATTTTTACTTGTTCTCATCTAAAAAAAATCCTGCCTCAGCTGGAGAATTCCCTACGTAAGGAATATCAAAACATGCATAACATAATGATAAAA